AACCCGAATCGAAATTTTGGCTCTATGTTGCACCTTTAATTTAATTATACATATAGTAGGACCTAAGACAGTAAAAGAGGTCGAACTGCAAGTACAAAATGAATCCTGCTTTAAAACCGATAGTGTCGGAAATTTTTACTTTTGCCAATTTAAGTAGATCCTTTTAGGTAGGAGCTAAAGTAAATTTTTGGAATTAAAGATTCAAGGGAGGAGAAAAAAATGTAATGCCATCAAAGTAGGTTATTGCTGGTCTATGTAGGTGTATAGATCAGCTAAGTAGGTGTAAATTGTCCTTAAAAGGGTCAAAATAGTACCAAAAGTTGGACTCGGAAACACCTGCAGGCAACTGATCGCGCGAAAACGTGAATCGGAAATAAACGTTAAGTGGATAGGATGTGTGCGCATATTGCCGTGCATCGATTCTTTCCTATAATTTCCTGTTATTGCTCCTCTTTTATTTTGCCACTCTGATGAAACAACGAGTCCTAGCCGAAATTATCTTCAGCCCCGGGTGAAATTTTATATTCTATTTACAAACGTGAAAGTTTTTACATTTCACTGCAGTTGCGATTGCATCCTTTCTGCTCGTGTATCCCACGTCTTTTCCTTTGCACCTCTAACGAGCGTAACGGTCTTGCGCGGCGCTGTTTGACGCAAATCAAGCGATTTTCCATAGATTTCACGAGAGTGTGCATTCTGGCGAGAAGGCACGCACCCGTATGCGGGAAACCGCAAAGAAATTCTTTCCCGTAATAGCGTGCGAAAAGCGCGCAAAGGCACGTTTCACGATTGACATGTAGCCATGTTAATTTTACCGCGGCGGTGAATTATTCGCAAAAGGAGACGCGCCTGGACTTTCCGAATGCGGATATTTGAATCGACGACTCGGCGAGGGGGATCCGCGAGATATGGAAATAGAATATTATCCCCGAAGAAATATTTCTCTCGCTCCCTCTAAATCACCTGACGTATAACTTTCAGATAAGATGAGGATTGGATGCCGCGCCTCAACTTTTCTATATCCTTGACGAAAACAACCTGGAGATGCGCCACTTTATATCTCGCATACGTGGTATTCTTCGCGTGTGTACGTACATACACGTGGCGCAAGTCAGACGAAATTACAGTGGACGCGGTTTTTGGCAAGGAATTTGCTCGGCCGGATAGCACGATTTCGCGGCGTCGCTCGTGCTTCCGAAAAAATGGCCGGCTATCACTCAAGAACGGTATCGCGTATCTGAGATTATTTTCACGCTCCTTTTTCTACCGGATGCATTTGCGCTCGAGCGTCGCGGATGGTAGCCTCGTTTGTTACAAATAACTCTCTTTCGTCCGGCAGCAACAGGTACCCTTTTTAACTACCATAATGCGATGGAAACGCAAGGGTCGTGCGAGACTTGAATCGATGCGATCGGGTCTTTTTTTATAATTTCGTCGGTGGGATGAAAAGAAAAAAATACCCCGAGAAGACGTCCACACCCAGAAAAAAGATTTATTTAGGTTAAATAAATGAGACACGTCGAAATCTGCTAAATTTTTATTTACTTGTACTAAAACATTTGCTAGATTTGAAGAACTGGATGTGAATTCCCGAGTCAAAATTTTGGTACTATTTTGACATTTTTAAGGATAATTTACATCTGTAGACCAGCAGTAATCTACTTTGATGACATTATATTTTTTACTCTTCCCTTGAATCTTTAATTCTAAAAATTCACTTTAGCTCCTACTTAAAAGGACCTACTTTAATGCTAAATTAGCAAAAGTGGAAATGTTCGACACTATCAGTTTTAAAGTAGGAGCAAATTTTGTACTTACAGTTCGACCTCTTTTACTGTCTTAGGTCCTACTGTATAATAGAATATAATAGAATTAAAGGTTCAGCGTCCCGAGTCGAAATTTTGGTACTATTTTAACACTTTTAAGGATAATTTTTATCTACTTAGCTAGCTGATCTATACAACTATAACATCGACCAGCAATAACCTACTTTGATGACATATTTTTTTACTTCTTCCTTGAATCTTTAATTCTAAAAATTTATTCTAGCTCCTACTTAAAAGAACCTACTTTAATGCTAAATTGGCAAAAGTAGAAATTTCCGACACTACCAATTTTAAAGTAGGAGTCAATTGTATGCGCAGTTCGATCTCTTTTATCGTCTTGGGTTCTACTATATAATAGAATTAAAGGTTCAACATAGGGCAAAAATTTCGACTCGGGTTGCCTCAGAGATTCCAGTCTCGATCAAATAAAATTTTGATTAGGGTAAAGAAATCATTTCTTTGAAATTAAATAAGAGTCTAGGTTGAAATTCCAAGAAAATTTGTTTGATTTCAAACTTCTTTCTGGCTGCAGTACGATCGCACTCGGTTTTAGGTGCATTGTTCGCGACCGTCCGTAACTAGAATGTAAAGTCGCGGAATGTCGGGTCGCCGGGTAAGTACGGCTCGTCGTGTACTACATGATTCGATATCTGTTGGAACGCAGTAACTTGTGATATACCAATTTCCTGCTTTCCGCTACAAGATCAAACGGAGTGTACTTGATCGATTAAATTCCCCTTTTAACAATGAAATAGATGAGAGAAAGCATTAATCACGTGATCCTATCATTTCGACATCACGCTACGTTTCCCGATGTTTCTGTCCCCCCTTTCGCAAGAGCGGCGTTTCGTCTCGTTCGCCTCTTTTTAGGCAGAAAAGGCCGGGTAGACGGGAGTGACATAAAGGGGCTTTTAACTCGAGCGTAATTTCCTTTTGATCGGAAATTCAATATTTTCTTACGGCCGCCGCGCCTTTCCGTACACGTAGCGCGAGTTTGCCGCTTCCGGAACTTTCCGCGCCGTTTCTCGATAGAGGGGCGATTAGAATGCGTACACAGAATCGGAAAAAAGAGCACGCGGGAGGTACGTTTCCGTGCGAAATGCCGATGAGTTTGACGTGAATCTAAGCTCGCCGAGCGAGAAAAAATGGTTGCAATTTCGGCCCGCGAGGCGGGCGTTTGTCAAACTTGCTCGTTACGAAAGGGAACTTAAAATGAGAATTACCGCAATGTTCTCCACACGTATCTGTAATTGCTATATAAAGTTTTACAGTGCTGAAATGAGCTGAAATAACAAATTTTCGTTTTACCTTACTAGACTTTTATTTCATTTCAAGGAAATGATTTCTTTACCTCAATCAAAATTTTATTTGATCGAGACTGAAATCCCTGAGAGAATTCATATCCATTTCTTCAAGTCTTACAATATCTAGCCATCTAGCATAATTATTCCTTCTCAGTCATCACTTACTGTTGAATCACGTATACGTGAAACATAGTTTTTACAATTATTAACAATTATAAATGAATAAAATGTTTTAAGGCCTGTGTCCACGTTGCTAGAACTTGGACCAAGTAGGTATCGTTAGATTTGAAGAAATGGATGTGAATTCTCTTAGGGATTTCAGTCTCGATGAAATAAAATTTTAATTGAGGTAAAAAAATCATTTCTCTGGAATTAAATTAAAGTCTAGTAAGGTGGAAATTCAAAGAAAATTTGTTGTTTCAGCTTGTTTCAGCTATGTCAAACTTTAAATAGCAATTACAAATACGTGTGGAGAACATTGCGATAATTGCTGCGAACATTGCTTGGTTGGACCAAGTTCTGGGATCGTGGACACAGGCCTTAATGGGCTGACGCACAAACACTAGATCAAAAAACAGATATACGTTTCGATCTTTAATCCGACGAGTTATCCATACTTTGCTCGTCAGCCTATTAGACGCTTGATTTACTTTTAGTTTTACGAACATTGACCTTCCGTAAATGAATAATTATCCACCTAGTGATAAAATATTCTTAATACAAGAACTGCCGCTTGATCGATGCAGTCCTAAATGCTAAAAGTTGCGCTTGTAATACATTTTACGGATCGATAAAGGGCGTACTTGTAGTTGCAGCGGCGTAGTTATCGGCGCTGAAAAACAAGCCTCGTATTAGCATAATAAATCTAGAAACTAGCCAAACAGGAAATTGCAAAGTTCTCCCAGGCTTGTAGCGCATGTAGACGAATTATGTGGGACGTCGAGAAGCGAGACAATCTCCAGAACCGGCGATATTCCGATTATAAACTTATTCCGGGGGCCTTCGTGACCGATCTCGCGCGATTTATGTCAGACGTATTAAAGTTTTCGTGTTAACGAAAAGAGAGGGATGGTTTATAAGCTACCAAGAGCGACGCCAGGCAAGTTCAATTCTGGTGCCGTCGCTTGTCTCACTTTTATCGCGTATAACGCGCGGAACCCAACTTTCGCGAAAAAAAGTGGCTATTTCGGTGTAACGAAATTGTTAAATAGATTTTTCAAGACTGGAATTGTGGATTGAATTACTTTCGTACCTCTGCGCGTTTTCCGGGATAAAATTCAAGTTCGTAATGAATATGATAATTACAAGTAAATTAATTAAATTAAAGAAAATAATTAATTGCGCCGCGAGAGAGAGAGAGAGAGAGAGATGGTGTATGAACATTAATTTCGAATTATTTTCAATCGATAGCTTTTTCAGCGAAAATAAAACGGTGTGGTGTAAAATTGTACGAGCAAAATCTCTGTATTTTCATTGCAGTCATTATTGCGCACAGAGAGAGAGACTCGAAAAAGAATTCTTTTCGAATTCCCGAATTGTGAAATAAATTCTTCGACCACTTCTGTTCTAGAAGTATTTTCAAGGGTTGAAAAAAGAATTCGCGTTTACGTCACCAATTCCGAGCTCTCTCCCGGGCACGAGAGGAATTCTTTCGGAGTTCATTCTTAACAGACTACGCTAATTCATGAAGAGCGAGTCCCTTTCAGGTTCGCCTGTGTTGTTTTGTCACGAAAATTTTGAAAAAAAAGGGACAAAATTCACCCTACGTCCGTAAAAAGTGAAACGACAGTTATCGTATACGCGTGTAACAATTTTTACCATTTCACGGAATATCACGTTATCCTTTTCATTCTTTTTTTCCCCGTTGCAGAGGGACGCATCCTAGAACTGCACTCGCCCGACGGCGTCCACGAATGCTGGTTGAGAGCCGCTGACAACACGGAGGCGAATGTCTGGTTCAATGCTTTGCACTCGGCGTTGGCAGCCCTCACCTTGAAAGCATTACGACTGGCCTCGGCACTTCCGGATCCGCAGCAGCTTCAGCACATAGGCTGGCTGGCGAGGAGGCACTGTCTTCAGGTAAGTTCCCCGAACATTCACCTGGAGAAGAAGTATGCTCAACACACGGGGCAACTTCCTAACATACTGTCTTACAACAATTTATCCAAGAATATTCTACACGTGATGCTATTGAAGCTCGGCGGGGCAACTTCTCGCTTTTGATAGTAGTTGATTCACCTTCAAAGTGTTTATTCCTTGTCGCGCCGCAACGAGGGGAAATTACATACTTACTGACGGAAGCCGAATGTTAGAACAACAATTATAAGTTTTCAATCTATAATCTATTACTGAAACGCTATTTCTTATACGAAACGAAGCTTGATAACTGCCTCTGGTCTCGACTTGTTTCATTTCCAACGAGTGAAACTGTTTTCCCAGCAAGAGACGAGAGAAATGCGGCCATAGATTTTTTTACCTCGCGCTTGGAATTGATCTCAGCCTCTCGCACTCCATAGGCTCGCGCAGGTCGAGGGTGAATCTTTTCACGTTTGAACAAAGGGTTGACGCGGCCCCTGATAAGAAGCGCCCGCATGAGCGTGACCGAAAATATCGATTATTTTTGCAGCGAGAGAGAGGGAGACACACCGTTTCCATACTGATTCTCATTTTGAGTTTTATAACATTCTCGGGAAATCGATGATTTTTTAAAAATTCTATTACATTCTATTTAATTTTGTCTGTATACGCGGGCGGGAGACCGTACGAGATGAACGTTGATCCGCTTTGTTTGTCCACGATATACTATGGTATGTGGAATTATTCAACGTTGTAGGAAAACAGTCAACGAGCCCGAACCGGAGCCTTCGCCAATTGACCTTCCTTCGTCGCGCGCGCACCATATTGCCTGATTACTGTCGCAACTGGTCAAATACGTGGCGCTCGGCACGGAGAGACGCGGGCCCAGTATTTAAGCAACCCGTGGGACGATTTCAGAGGTGGGCGACTGGCAATCAGGCGCGCTAATGCCAATCAATTATGTGCCGGTAGCCACGTGCCCTACGGCCCTCCTGCGGCGTCCTTGATGCCGCCGGCGCTAGCAGGGCGGTCCTTTATCAACAAGGCAACATCCGGTGGCGGGCTCCGCGTATTAGTTATCGATTCCTGCCGGTTACACGATCGGTAGATCGATAGCGCGACGTCGATGCTCCGGTCTCGCCGCTGCCGCGTTTACCTGCCGCGCGATCTCTGCAAGTGACACGTCTGCGGAGTTGGATGGCTAGGCCGGGGCGGAGATGGAAAGATCAACTGTCGCACCTTGGATATCCCTAGTGGCGATATTTAATTGGAAACTGTGGATAGAACGGATTTCCGCTCGATGTGGTTCGCGCGATTTCGGCAATGGATGTACAATCGACGGCGAAAGGAAATAAAAGATTAATTGCAATCAATTATTCGGCGTAATTAGACCGTTTGACGTTAGACGTGATTGGCTTAGTTTAAATTTGAATGCGCGCATAATAGTTTCCCGGATGTTTCTCGTAGCGTTTCATTTAGCTGATAAACAGTGAATACGGTTGATCTTTTTCTATTCGCGATGACATTCGCAATGACTAAGCCGTTGAGCTCTGTTTAAATGAAATTCTATTATTTATCTAATCGTTGTTATTGCTCGCTTATTTAATATGGCAATTTTAATTAAAGGTAAGAATTATTCGTCTTTATTTTATCTTATTTATCTTGTTTTATCTTATTTTATCTTTATAATGCCCAGCAAAGCCTAATGCTCAAACTAATGCCCAAGAAAGGCCCAGTATCGCTGGGCATTACTGGGCATTTTTCCCCTGGAAACCGCTGAGCAAAATTTTCCACACCAATGCCCACTAATGTCCAGTGGATATTACTTTATCTTATTATCTTATTTTATCTTTATAATGCCTAGCAAGGCCCAATGCTTACACTAATGCCCAAAATGCCCAGTATCGCTGGGCATTACTGGGCATTTTCCCCTGGAAACCGCTGACCAAAATGTTGTACACCAATGCCCACCGATGCCCACTAATGCCCAGTGGGCATTACTTTATCTTATTATCTTATTTTATCTTGTTTTATCTTATTTTATCTTTATAATACCCCAGCAAGGCCTAATGCCCAAACTAATGCCCAAAAAGTGCCTAGTAATGCCTAGTAATGCCTAGTAATGCCCAGTAATACCGCAAATCTGTACACCACAATGCCCTCAGCGGTTTCCCCCTCGGTTATGACGGATGGACGCGACGGAGAGACTTTCTTCCCAGGGTTCGCCAACAATTCAGATAGAAATTCCATTTCCGTTGTTCACAATTGATCGAAACATGCGACTTTGCGGTATCGACCGTTTATTTATATATCTCAGTTATTTTTTCGTGCCTAGAAAATGGTTGCTGCGGTTGCAAGATCCTTGTTTCGGCGATCCGAAATTCGTTCTGCGTGGGCGTTCAAATAATTTCTTTGAAAAGAAATTATTGCGCTGGAGGCGTTTCATTGCCATCCACTCGAAAGCCTTATGTATCAACAATTCACCACGCGCGTTCCCATGGCGCTTCGTAAAATAAATATCGCTACCCCATATCTCTCCGATATTTGTATTAAATTGCGCGCTATCGCTCGAATCTGATGCGAAACGAAATGCCCGCCTGCGCGGCGTATTCATTAGCGCGCCGCGCGCCCCGGAATTGGAATTTATCGATCGGCGATCCGTGACCCGGTGATCGACGCGCGTCATTTAATTAGCGATTCGATGGGATATTTAAGTGTCGCCGTCGGTAATCCGGCAAAGCGTAGCCGACGCTTATGGATTTTCCCGGGCGCGGCACGTGGCCGCGGCGCCATGATCAACTGGCCGAACGAGTTGTATCATTATTTAGAAGCGCGGCCGTTCGCGCCGAGCACCTCGTAAAGCCGGATATTGCGTTTTATGAACAGCATCGAGCCGGCTAAAACGAACGGCGGTAAACGCGCCGATCACGCCGGGGCGTTTTCATAACTGAAACGAAAGCGCCCGTGAAAAATACTCGAAACCGCCGTGAAAAACTGCGCGCGACGCGCAGCGCTCCGGCGCGCCCTGTGCGGCGCCCCGTGCCTGCGCTACATTCTGTCATCCTATTTAATGTCGTCCGCAGTGTGCCGTTACGCCCGCTTAAATCGTCGATTTATTTTATTTACTGTTGGATGTAATCGATTTCCGGCCAGTTCCACTGCCGACGGTTTCGATTCTCGCTGGCCGGCCATGTTAGCCGATTATAGTAGTTATCCCTACCTGTTGGACTGTATAGTCGCTACGTATTATACCGAAACGTTTCGGGTCCACGCTTTTATACTTGTTTTTTTTTCGGAAACAATATTTTACCGTCAAGTTAATAATTTATACCCGCGCGAATGCAGAGACAGCGTCGAAAATTTCCGCAAATTGACAAATGGAATGACTAATTGTTGCTCCATTGTTCCCCGGTATAATCGCCCTTAAGTTTCAGGCAGTTGCCGGTTCGATAAAATTAATTGATACAGCGCCGCTTCGAAGGTATTTCAAACGTCAGTTTTTCCGGGGCTCAATTGTTGCTTCGGCTAAAGAACAATTTCAATTAGCGGGAAGTAAAACGGGGGGCTTTTCAGCATTTAACGCGATTGACGATGCGTCGGTTGACAATCGTAAATTATATCGACCCTTAGTAACCAATACAGGATACATAATTATAAATTGAACGTTTCGCCTCCGCTTTGAGCCATTTCAGCAACAATTAAATGAAAATGATCTCGCGTTCTTCGACGAGGAACAAGCCGGCAACTTCAGAATCGGGTGGTCGAGAAATATCGTAATTTTCCGCGAGGGAATCCAGGTTAAACCAGCTTAATCATGGTTTATTACTCAAGCGGAACAAGAGGTTACGATGAAGTCAAAGTGACAACGTAATGACTGTCGAAAAGTCGTAATGACAGAAAATTGATTATATTGTAATTTTGAAATGTACACGGAGGGAATTTTCTCTTAAGCGGTTACAAGTTACAACACTCTAAAGCCCACAAAAAAGCCAATTTTCGGTTATTTTTTTCAGGAATATAATAAACGTAAATGAAAATCTGTTTATTCCTATTGTTTTGTTGAGGAAAAATTCATAAAAAAATTGTTTGCACTACAACGTATAGAGAATAAATAGGAATAAACAGATTTTTCTTTGCGTTTATTATATTCCTGAAAACAATCACCGAAAAATGGCTTTTTTGGGGGACTCTAGAGTGTTGTAACCCCTTAAAATGTACCCTGAAAATCGTGTAATCGTGGGATAACGTGGCATTTTGAGTAACTTTATGAGTTTTTTGAAATTTGACCATGCATTTTACTGGTAATTATGCTTGAGTATATATTTTACTACTGCCACGTTGTTCCACGATTACATGATTTTCAGGATAAATTTTAAGAGAAATTTCCCTCCGCGTAGAGATGCGGGTTGACGTGGCTCGCGATAATTTCAACTTACTGTTAGATTATTTCCGACACTCTTGTTAAGACTTAAATAATAAAGAATAGTAATAGATACAAAATGTTCTTCTTCGCAAAACTGATGCAATTGTAATAAGGATATGATTTGTATGACAAGGCGCGATTCAATATTTTGTTACATTTATATTCTTTTGTTTTGTATCTTGTGAATGGAAAATCAGGATGCCAGTACTTCGAAAATCAAATATTTTCGCAAATATTTGATCAGGATCGGAATAACAAAAATCAAATATTTTCACGAATTCGTAAAATATAATAATATCTGCGAGATTTTAATCGTCTCGCATCCACGAAACGATTTGCGTTCTCTCGGCGAGAGTTATTGAAAAGTCAAGATATGGAAAAGTCATAGAAGAGTGAAATTATGTGTCATTAAAAGTCTCTGCGAAAATGATGCCATCTTGCTGTTCTGCTCGGGTATATTAACGAAATTAAAATCTCTACAAAAATCTTTTCTACAAAAATATCGTCTCTACAAAAGTATCTTCTCTATAAAAGTAATTCACTAAAAAATCAAACTAAAGATTTTATCGGAAAAAATAAT